TTATTATTTTTATTTTATTTTAAACCAGATATGGTCCAAGATGCCAACAATCAAGAGGATAAAGAAACAGACAATGATGAACAATTCTTCAATGATGTCCTGGACTATGATGATGGCCAGACGAGTGATCGCTCCGTCACCTCTTTCTCCCTCCCTGACATGGCCCTGGGTGGTGACGAAGACATGGGTTACCCTCGGATCCCACCCACCCAGGACCGACCGGACCAAATCACCAGCAACCATGTACCTCCTCAGGGTTCAGCAGCAGACGACACTGGTAGTGGTGGGCTAGATCTGGAGGGAGTCAAGAAAGAGAAGAAAAAACAACTGGTTTTCTTGACTGAGAAGGAAGCAACGTGTGAAGGACGTTTCCTGGAGAATCTTGCCGCCAAGGAGAAGAATAGATCGGAGATGGTGACAGGGGCTAGTGTAGAGGCTGCATCATCCGAGACCAAGACACCAAGAGATGGTCAAAGTTCAAGTAGAAGTGGTGAGAAACATGCTTTAATTGGTTGTTGAAGGGGTTGTACGACACATTCTCCACTAACAATTGCTCCACAATCATTTTCTTACACTAGCTAAAACTTTAATTTTAACCCTTAACCCTATTTTAAAACTGCATAGCCGGGGGGGGGGGGGGGGGGGGGGGGGGGGGGGGGGGACCTCCCCTAAGATCTTGGCCGATTGCTGCGAGAATATGCATGCATGTCAAGTGAAGTGTGAAGTGGTCATTTTAATTTTTTGAAAAATTCACTCATTTGCATATCTATGGTAATTTATGCATTTAAGGTCATAAAATTTACATTTTTACCCCTAAATCATATATTCTTTATATTCAAACATTCATTTTCTCAACATATATTCTTCAGGCCATTTGGAATAATAATACAACAACAACATTTGGAAGAGCCAGGTTATTCCTTATGTTATCTATTGTTTTACTAATTTCTTTGTTTTTGTAACTGATGTATTTTATTGTTTTTGTTGTATATAATTCTATAATTCAACTATATTGACCCCCAAAACAAACACCTAAACTGTAATCGAGACCAAATAATCAACGTTTTATCTCTTTTTTGGAAAAAATGATATGTTTTGTACACAAATTACGAAAATGTGCAATTTGCGGGCTGACATGCAAAGACAAAAGGTCACGTAACTTTTGTAACGGTAGATCTGATTTTTTTTCTTCAAGTACATAACAAATTATCGTGAAAATGTAGAGAGGGGCTTATTAAGCCCCCCCCCCCCCCCCCCCCCCCCCCCCCCCCCCCCCTATATATAGGGTTAATCAAACACTTTACGTAAGTAACGTAACCTTATCTTTTACTCCAAACCTAACTTTTCACCAACCTGTAGGGTTAGCATCAAACAGTTCTGATACTAGCACTTGAAAATCATACAGAGATGTTTGTGTTTTGGACCATATAAGTTTTATGGTTCGATGTTTGATTATAACTCCCTGCCTTTTTCATTGTAGGAAAGTCAAAGGTTCGCTCTCACACTGCACCAGCAACTACTTTGAAAGCAGGAGTGGCTTCACCAGGCGGTACCACTCCTAGGGCATCTGGAACCGGAGGAACAAGACAGAGCCGCAGGTCCAGGAGCACCAAGGGTCCTGAATGGGAACCACTGACCATGACGGCGCTCAACGATCACAAACCAGCCATTCAGCTGTTTGGAGGAGCTGATTTTGCTCATGGCAGTGAGTTCCTGTGGAAGCCTGTTCTATCCACTGCTACCACAGCCGCCACCAAAGGAACATAGCAGACACTGGGGGAGACGAGGAGGTGAAGAAGCATTTGGTGCTGTTAGTAAAGAAGATAAATTTGATTAACAATCAAAATTATTCAGCCATGAATTGAGGAATGTGATGTAAATACCATTAGCTTCATGTTATGAAAAGCCCAACAATCTTTAATGTCGATTTAATGTGTCAAAACAGCATTGTGAAAGAGTTGATGATGCCAGCTGTATAAAATAACGAAAGTACTTTTTATTGAATTCCTTCCAAATTATGTTATTGTGAAGTAAGGTGCTCAGTGGACCGTAGAACAGCATACTGAACAAACATTTGAGGACAATGTATTTTCACAGTTTTTTAACTAAATGAGCATTGAGCAAGGATGGAAGTCAGACATATAAATGATAGTCTTAAAGCATAGATATAAAAACATGATTTGGATCACTGTTGGAAACCACTATATGCTCGTTACCTACATCACAGAGAGGACAAAATAGTTCAGAATGATAGTAGGATAGAGAGTCACAAAAAAGTTAGGCTTACTGTTGTTGTTTTTTACATTGTCATATCCTTAATATTGCCTACATCATTATTAGAACTACATATCAGATTGTACAGGATCAGTACATGGTTTTATTGATTGCTGTTGTTTCTGATCCAAAGGTATTCTGTTCAAATCAAAATCTTCAAGAAGGGTTTGTTATCGTTATAAATATCTTTGTCTTTCAATTACCGGTATACAAGGAGTATATTCCGTCCGTAATTTTAGTTACTCTTCCAAGTTTTGAAAACAGACCAGCATCAAATGTTTTCCAATCGTTAATATTTCAACAAATGTAAAGTATATATTTATATTTGTAAATATATTTTAAATAGTTATATATTTCAAAATCATCAACTCTTCTTATACAGGACAAAGAAACGTAAAGATCTAGCATGAGAATGAGAAATGCACATTTATGTCACGCCATGTCATAAATGTTTTTTTGTAGTTTGCAGTGTAGACCGTATCCCACTTGGCTGTATATCATTTAATATAACTTTAGGCAAAATGAATACTAATTTGTTGGGTTCTATGTTGGTCTTTGGGAGAAATACTTGCACACTCTATTTGCTTTTTAGTTGATGCTATGTATAGAATCAATTGGTGTTTATTATGAAAACTCGTTTCATAGTTACAACAAAAAAATCATTTTCATTTATTTGATAGAGATAATATCTTATTCCTGGATTTTTGTGTGAATGATTTTCAATTGTTCACAATCTGTTCATAAAGAAACAATATACATGTACTTTGTATTGACATATCCCAATAAATATCCTTTCTTTTTCTGGAATTAAAGTTTGAATACAAAATACAAGGCAATATCCTTTGCTCTAGTTTGGAGGGTGAAAAGTTACAAAACCAATAGATAAAGTATAAGCAAGTCTATTATACCATTTAATGAAATCACCAGTTTGTAAATGTTTTTTTAATTGTATTTAATAATGTCATTAATACGTTTCACTTCTTTTGTTGTAAGTGATGTTTGTCATTCATCATGATTTTATTACGTTTTTATCTGCCACTCCACTTTGTTACGAGTATAGTTTTTGAATAAAGTTGTACAGAGTTAAACCACATTTTGGAATTCATTTAGTACTATGATTAGAGATGACAAGAGAGCGATGAAGAGATAGGCAGACAAAGGTAGAAACACATGGAGAGAAGAAGGGGTAAGGACATGTCAAGAGTTTGAGGAGAGAGTGGGAGGAGAGATGACCAGAAGGGAGAAAGATAGAAAGAAAGGGAGAGAGAGAGGTGAAGAAAGAGAGGGAGGAGAGAGAGAGAGAGAGAGAGAGGGAGGTGAAGAAAGAGAGGGAGGAGAGAGAGAGAGAGAGGGAGGTGAAGAAAGAGAGAGAGGTGAAGAAAGAGAGAGAGGTGAAGAAAGAGAGAGAGAGAGATAGGTGAAGAAAGAGAGGGAGGAGAGAGAGGGAGAGAGAGGTGAAGAAAGAGAAGGAGGAGAGAGAGAGAGAGAGAGAGAGAGAGGTGGAGACAGAGGTAGTACAGAGGGGAGATGGAGGATGAAACATGAAGCTGCAGGAATGGAAGCCTTGCAGAGGACACAAGGAAATGAGAGAAAAATATTGAGAAAAAAAGAGGGAGGTAGAAATAGAAATGGAGAGGAGAAGAGACAAGAAACATGTTATGTAATAAGGAAATGGATTGTCATAGAGAGGGAGAGCTGAAGAGTGAGAGAATGATAACATCAGTATACATATTGATGGATTGATATTAATAGAGATGGAAGAATGAGGAGAGAGAGAGAGAGAGAGAGAGAAGGAATAATATGAATCGGTATAGACAAAGATGAATTGATATTAATTTTTAAGGGAGAGAAACATGAATAGAAAGGGACAGATATCTAATCTGTTGTAATACTATCAAACGCATTTAGAACATACTTCTGTTTAGATATATGTTTTGATCTTGTAAATTATGTAGTATGCCACATATACGAACGATATCGTATTAAGATGAAAATCCCATATGAATGCACAAAATTATTTCATGATAAAAGTTTATATCATCCGCACAGCCGACAGAACCATTAAAAACGAAAATCAATAATAGGCGCGTCTTCATCATCTTAATCATCCTTTTAAGCACATAGGAGATGTGATTAATTGGGTAATGTTCTTGTGACTGGATATATAACCGATTCAAGAAGTATAGCACTATATGTGTAATGACGACATGAGGATACTAAAATATAAAATGGGAAAGTTATCATAACATTGCCTCACAAACAGTAGGATAAAAAACGGGGCCGATAAAAAAAACAAAAAACATCTACGACAGTTAGTAAAACTAATTTAGGTGTCGTTTTATTCAAATCGTTCAAAAAAGAAGTCAAATTTCAGGGATCTGAACGATATAATGTTAGCATTTCTAACAACCTTATATACCCATAAGTAAACGTATATGGCTCGGCAAGAAGAGGCCCTCATTTTTGTCAATATGCTTACTTTTATTATGATATATAAACTTTGGGAAAGTATATTGCTTTGATTTTCTTGAAATACAAAACAATATTACCCACAAAAGTGTTGCTTTAATTAGAACACGGCCCGTAATATATCATAGTATGACCGTTAGGTTTCGACTCATAAATTTTAAGCGGGACACTACATGTGCATCTAGCTCGCATAAATCATTCGTTTTGAAACCTAGCTCTCGCTTTCAATATGAATTTTACGCGGGATCAAAGGTTGGTCTGTATGTTTACCTAGTCAACCATTCACCTGGCTCTTATTATTACACACAAAGGCAAATATTTTCTAAATATGAATTGTTCTTAAACTTGCTTGTGGCCGACACGCACACGCGATTTTAACTTATCATCTACATACAGATCCACAAATAATTTGCAGACTTTGGGAGCTTCAACAGGTGGTAGGAAAAGCTGGAAAGCTCAGAGTAGGAAAAATGGCTGATTTCTTGTGTGGTTATTGTGTTGGCATCGCAGCCAGTTTAATCATAGTGTGGATTCTGGTCTCCGTCTTGGCTTACAGCGGTTTGTTTCACCGAGTGGTCGTGAGGAAACTATCTAACCCTGTTGGGAAGCTTCGAGTGGCGTATCTGTACAATACGGGGCCATATCGAAACTGCGGACCGCTTTTCGGCCGGGTGAATAGTGTGTCGCCTCATGCGCGATGTATGGGCATCTATTACGATGACCCAAAGACGGTAAGTATATGTTAGGTGGGCCATGTTCATAATGCCCCCCCCCCCTTTTTTTTTCTTCTCTCTCCTTAATCTTTACCACAAAAATATCAAAATCAAGGATAATATTCCTCAGTCAGCTGGGCGGTAGACACTGTTCAGTTTTCCTCGGCATTCATTATTGAACCAGGAGAAAGTGAAAAGGAGAGGAGGAGGAGAAAAAAGAAGAGGAAGAGAAACATAAAGGGGGAGACTGAGGAGGAAGAGGGATTAAAAAGTGAAGGATAAAAGTAAAAAGAAACTGCCAAATCGCATTAGTTCGTGAAAACTCTGTGGCTTTAACCTCGCCGTACATTGACGAGCCTATATGATGTCATTAGGAATAAGACTATTGTTGTTGAAGGCAAGTTAAACAAAGAAAATGAACGGCTTGTCTCATTTAGCATTCATAATCGGATTAATGGGGCTTACGAATCGACAATTAATCCCCAGGGTGCCATGCTCTCAAGGTTTAATACCTGATTGTATCAGAAGATCAAAAATGATTCCCTATTTATTTACTTCTTCTTTTTATGTGTGTGCGCGCGCGAATTTTTGGTTACAATTTTTTTGGCGCTGAGGAAGGTGTTTAAAGACCCTCTAAGTGTTGGGAGCCCAACAAATATGATGGCAACATTTTTTGAAAGAGGATTTCAAATTTAATATATATTTCTGCATGGATTTTCAAAAACAAATGTGTGTGAAGTCGAATTGATGAAAGAATACACAATTTAAGTTTTCTGCGTACAACAGAAAACCCAAATTATGTATTCTGTCATTTTGTCTTCAAACGCATTTTGGGGTAAATCTTTGCAGATGTGTGTCTTAATGACATCCTATTTCACAATATGATGCAATTTAAGTGAAATTTTGCCATCAATTTTTTTGCCGAATTTGGGGCTCCCAACACTTAGGGGGCTTTGAAGGTACTATGTCCCTTTTGCAGCCAACCTAAAATTCTTTAGAACTTTGCAGGAATTATGAATATGTCATGTATGTCCTATCTGTGAAATTTAAACGTTAGCAGTGTCCTAATATTCAAATTATGCAAGGAAACCGGTTTACTTGCCAGACTTCACTGCCAGACACTATTGAGTGACTGATTGTTGTTTTTTCTGTTTTGGTTATAACATACATACAGTGAGCTGTAAATGGTTAATGAGCATTTGTCTTCATCAATAACCCACTTTTTGTGATGGCCAAAATTAAACTGATTGAATCTTTGCGCAGCACAAAACGTAAGACCATTCAGTGCAATAGTCTAAAAATCAAGACTATTACTTATTGGCTCTATAGCTCCTAAGTCGATTTGACAACTAATAGTCGTTATTTTCCCACTTGAAGACATTTTCAAGCCCCACCTTTTTTTAGGGAAGTTCTAAATTAGTATTATCTTTCAAATGCCGTTGGAATTTAACCTTTTCATTTTTTTAGGCCTGTAAATGGGACATCTACCTTTAAACTTGTGTTTATAACATTCTTCATTTTTAAACCCGGATGGATTTAGATTAGCTTTTAATTTGATTTTCAATAAATGGATCATCATTATTTCAGCAGGTTTATACTCATAATGAACTTCTCATTATCCTGATGTTTGCCGACATAATCTTTAAAATCCATCTTCTCCTTTGGTCGATCAGACCCCTGAGAGTGAGCTGCGTTACATGGTGGGTACGATCTTGAGCGAGCACGATGACGCAGTGGACGATGAGCTCCAGAAGCGGTGTGAAGATGACGGTTTTAGGGTGATCGAGGTCCCTGCCATCGTCGACGCCATCGGAACCGATTTCCCTTTCCGTTGGATGCTGTCCGTCTTCTTTGCTATCTGGAGGGTTTACCCAGCCCTTAATGGGAAGATCAAGGTGAGAAAGCTGGAAAGACTCACGAAGTGACGGTAGTGAGGAAAATCCGCACGCAAATTGTATGCAATTTTCATTCACTACCGTCACTTCGTGAAAATAAGGATTATGGCGTTGGTAACGGAGGAAGGTGTAAAAAATGTGAAACATGCCTGAAAAATGGGGGAGAAAAAAGGATGATGATGATGAAACTAAAAACCAGGTATATTTTGAAGTATACCCCTATACCTATTTCTAATCGATGGCAGGCGTGCAACCCAGACATGTTCTTGAAATAATTTGGTGTTGCGAAGAAGGATTTACGGCAGCCCGACATTGTGCCTATTTTCTCCGGGCTTTATTTCGTCAAACAGTCTTGTAGCGTGATAATTCCAGTGGGGGGGGGGGGGGGGGGGGGCATTGGAGGCACCGGTCTCACTCGGAAAGTTATATTGCTAATCATGACTTGTACAAGACCTCTGATTAGCGCCATAGAGCTGAAGGCTGCCCTGCTCAAAAAGGTACACCCCCGTAATTTAATGGATATAATTCTCTGCAATCGTATTCGTATACGTTACATTAAGACATTCCTGAAGTCATGATTGAAAAGAGCGATTGGCGTCAGAGAGTGGGCTCCATCTCGGCTGTGGCCGCCACGTGATGATGATCTGATTAGAGGGAGCGTGTGGGAGGCAGTCCTATCGTCTTATTTCCTCGTCCTTAATTATAGTAGAAATATACTATCGGATAAATATTATTGTTTAGCGCAAGGCAACCTGCCACAATGTCTATACCCATTTCTCCATTAATTGCCTTTTCTCTCTTTTAATCTTTGTCCTTCTTTCCCTTTTCGTCGGCAAAGATACAGTAAGGATTGAAAGTGTGTTTTTGTTTAGGTCTAGGGTTAGGTTAGGTATAGTGTTTGATCAAGGGTTGCAGTTGAGAATTAGGTTATCTGGTTATTGTAGGATATTGACCGCGGATCAACATTGTCACCGGAGCGTGTATCAGAGAACCGAATATAATCCACTTTCCACTTTTTCAGTTGTAAGACGATAATTGTATTAAGAGTTAGGATTATATAGTGGTTGCAGTTAAGAATAAGTAGATCATTGTAGGATATTGACATATTCAAATGTATTGATGTTTCTTTCACGTGGACCTATATTGACGAGGTATTCCATTACTTGGAGTCCAGTCTGCATACATTATGTGTTGCTATGTCGAGCAAGCCTTCTGCAAGCTTACTGGCTGTCAAGGAGCCTAAAGTGTTTATCTCGAACACTGGTTTCGTAACCTTTGAAAATTCAAGGAATAACGAAACCCCAATGCAAGAAAGAACACGATGATAAGTATCAAAGAAATTGACAGTAGACTTTCATTTTTAAAAAGATAACATCCCAAATAAACGTTATCCATTTTGTATCACTCAATGGCAATGAGAAGGGTTAATTGAAACAAGAGATGCGAATGAATTGTAATCATAGTGTAGAGATATCATACATTTTGCTTGTACTAAGAATTTTCTTGTGTTTGAGTTGATATCAACACCATTTCTTTATAACTGCCCAATAGTCGATGTAAATAAGTGAGCAATTATTGTGTCTGGAATGAGATAACACACATTCACTGCTTCAGCCCAAACTCGGTATATACAAGAGGATTTTGACAATACTTTTTGAAAAGACTACTGCTCAGTCATCCGTGGCAGCACAATTATGATTATGGTATCATTAGACAAGGTATAAATTACCCTTTACCTTGATATATGATTCAAGGTCACATACGTTTTAACTTTATAATTAGAAGTTACTAAAATTGGGTACACTATTTGTATTCGAACTGTATATTTCCCTTGCATGTTATCAGTGAACCGAATTCACTGTAAGTTCAGTTGTAAGACGATTACACGGTCTCTCGGTTATATCAGTTTCAAGCGAGTGGAAATGGAAATAGGAAGGTGAATTGGATGGAGGAGACATGGTGATTTGAGCATGAATGAGATAAGCCTTTCTGGATAAAGACCAGACTTAGTCCTATATATAGGCGAAGTCCGTAAAAGGACTAGTTGAATTCTTTACAAATGAATGATTGTGGCCAAAGGGATTTCTGTATTAACTAAATTGTTTACTCTTTCTGTTTGCCCATTTTGTTTATGATATAGAAAGAAGGATTGAATGCCCGCCCTTGCTTTGAGATCTACGGAGATGGGATGACCAAATTCTACATGCCACTTAGCAACAATGACGCGTACTATGTACCTGAGGCACTCAAAAACAAATCAACTTAAACTTGGTCAAACTACATAAAGCCATTCGACCTTTAATATGACAACTGACCACAGACCAACTTTATGCAATCACAAGCCGACATCATGTCTTTTCTATAATTTCTTCAACTTTCTCCTAATCCGTTTACCCATTTTAATTCTTACGACAGAGCTCCTGATACGTACATATTAAACACAATTGAAACACACTTCTATTGGGTAACGCTTGCCCGACGACGAGGAGCCGTCCGTTTATTCGATGCGATTATCAAAATAAGCATTCAAAAAAATATGATGTATACACAAGTTTTATTATCACCTTCCTTGCATTATTTTAGAGTAAAGTGACATCCTCCCTGCACCAAGGGTTCCCAAACATGGCGCAAAATAACAGTGTACCGCCTTTTTAAATGCTCTCCAATTTACGAAACCATAATTATCTTCCCAAATGTAGAATAAACTTGAACTTGAACATTTGTCGTGAGGAAAATTTATACATGGTGTCGGCGAATGAGCGAAAGTGTATGATTTTCCTATTCTTCAGGAAAAAATACAATTTGAACATCATTCACGTTGTCACTTCAGTATTACTAGATTTACAATCATACTTATGTTGAATGCAGTTTTTGTTGTAAAAAAATGTATTATGACAGTGTTTTTTTAATTAATAGACTTATAGTGAACAATTTGTATTTTAAAGCAACTCGCACAGTTTCAAAAAAAGAACTGAAGTTAAATTATTCACCACTATATCAACCACATTGACAACTTTTAGCCAATCGAGGCGTTTTAAAAATTATTTTTACTCACCCAGTTAAGGTAAAATGCTCCAATATAGTCTATTAAGTAACATGTCCAATGAATGCCAGTATTGTACTACGTCTAAAAAAAGTGACTTATATGTAACTCATGACAGCGAAGGCTCTCGACGATCATAGTTACGATAAATTTCTTTGATCGATTATGATATATACACAATGATATACATACACACTTGGATAAACATATACACTAGTGTGTAATTTGATACACTATTTCAAGAAAGAATTCAAAAACAAATTCATAACATTGATTATGTTTGTATATATTATGTTACATATCTTAAATACACCTCCGCCATAACAGGGCACCGTGTTAACAAGTTTACGCAAGTATAGCAATTATAAAAAAATACGGTGTCATTAGAGTACTGTTATTTTTTTCACATTTTTCATACACCGCTTAGTTAACATTTTTTGAAATGATGAGCTGTCATTGAAGAATTCGAGTTTGTTTGCAACAGCAAAGAATAATTCTTAGGATCTGCAGATGGGGGCATTGAAAAAAGGCAGTACTTGCTACAGTAATTCTTGTCAATAACAATCATGTATCATGTCAAAAGTTCATGCCTTTCTCCTGTAAAACTTTATGATGTTTATTTTGTATGTGCCCGTGCGATGTGCGTAAATTTTACCAACAAAATAGTTAATGTCATCGGCGATTTAATTGTCTTTGTTTGAAATAAAATAAGCTTGTAAAGTTTTAAAAAAGACAAAAGAAGAGATAATATGATATTTGTGTGTGTACATACGTTCAGTAATGGTGGTGGTGGTGGTGGTGGTGGTGGTGGTGATGGTGCATGAGTGTGGCGTAATGATGGCCGGTTGTGATGGAGGTGGGGTGGTGGTGATGGTGCATTTTTGGTGGAGCATGATTGAGCATGTTGGTGCATGGTGGTACGGGTGGCTTGATTGTGGTTATGATGTTGGCCCTTGTGCATGGTGGTGGTGCATGATAAGGCCCCCTCCAAAAAAAATTTTTTTAAATGAATAAATAAATAAATAAAATTTTTAAAAATGTTGTATTGCCCTTTACGACTGACCCCAAAATATCGGCTTTAAAGGAAAAAAAATGAAAAATATCAGCCCAGAGAGGGGGAAACAAAACTTAAAAAAAAAAAGATTTCCGACCGACCGACCCATGTTTTGGCACCTAAAGGGCAATACAACATTTGTTTATGTTATGCCTGGTGGCAGTACGGTAGTGGTGGTGGTGGCGGTGGTGATGGTGTTGGTTGTGCAGATCAGCATGCAATGGTAAACAAACACTGTTCACTTTCTATTCACCCTTTGCGTCATACCACTTTCACAAGGCGCGCCAAGGACAGCGTCAGTCACTGACGCAGTGCTACGTTATTGACTGACGCAGTACTATACGTCAGTGACTGACGCCTCGTGTGTGACTCGCCAAGGGATCAAAAGTGTTCAAACCAAACGATGGCTAACAAAACATACTGCAATTTCTGCCTTGACATGCATCTGTAGCAATTTCTACATACTCTTCACGAAAGAGACCCATGGCCCATGGTCACTCGGCGTAAAGTGTTAACAACTTCCAAAATCTTTGACTGTTTCTCATCACAGTACAAGATTAAATTATATATAAATATTGTGTTAATTTCATTAGATCTTTTCCAATCTGTTGATCTCCCCTGTATACAAAATTGCTTCCTATAATCTTTTAGCAAATGAGAGGATGAAAGGTAATTTGTAATAAAATTCTCCGAGTGTTGTTGCCTCTTTAAAAAAAAAATAGCTTGTGACAGTAACAAACGTAATTACTGTTTAGTCAATACACAGATATGACATTCAATTACTCAATACAAAGTTTGCACGCAGGAACAACAAAATGTTGCCTTTAATATTGAACTTAAATGAATGAATATCCATACATAGATAAAACTTCTTTAAAACTCCTTAATATGATTTTTACACTGTCACAAATATTTTCAAATATCACCAATTGTCAAGCATAGGGCTGTAATTTGAAATAAATATATTCACAGTTGTGTATATATATATAATATATATAATAAATATCATAACTATCATGACATCCCCGGTTAGTCAGAAAAATTTAGTTTCTCAGGCAATTCAGCAACTGATGAGTTTGAAATGTTTGTGACCCTATAAATGAATGAAGGGACCTCTGCTCACTGTGGATGGTTCTGATGGTAATTGTGACGTCATCCCTTCTCCACCTCCTTATCGGAATCGATCGAATGGTAGACGTTGACGTCTGTAACGCTTTCGGGTAACGATTCGTCTGCTCGTTTCTTCCGTAAGTAACGCATCCCGAAAAGCACCAAAATCTATTTTTGAAAAAAGAGGGGGAAATGAAAGTAATCAGTTATAATGATGGTATTGGTGATGATGATAATTGGTGATGATAGTTCCATTTTTATTTTCACTTTTAAAATGAGGAAATGATTACTATGTGGTAAACTAGTAAGGGCGGAACATAAAGGGGATTATGTGGTAAAGTATTACAAGGGCAAAACACAAAGGGCTGGAATGTACAAGTTGTAATAAATGGACTCGTATACTTCTTGTTCTGATGTCACAGATAAACAATGCAACGATCCTTCGGAATGTTTTCCAGGTTGGGTTTGTTGACAATGTTGAATGGTTCATATACCTTTTTATTATGAAAAACAATAATATTTATACTACTTCACCAGAAGTAGTCTATAGAGAGATAGAAATGTAAAATGTGTATCAGTTGATTTAGAATGCCTCGGAAATGATGGCCTTAATCGCACCCAATTATAAATGTTGTCAGTTTATTCAAACACTTTTATGAGGTAAGAATTGTCCAGAAATTCATTAATAGCTTAAAATGAGACTAGATTTGATGATAGTGTTCAAGAGATAGAAATCAAAATTGATAATTATTGTGTGATTAGGAAAGATCGTAATAGACACGGCGAAGGAGTGGCTATCAATATACATGAGACTATGAATTTTACTCATATATTATAATTCTGAAGATTGATTTTAAAATAGATAATTGTTATCCATTGATATCGTCCTCCGCGAGCAAAACGCAGCTGAACATGTTTCCGAAATTACAAAATCGTGCTGGAAGAAAAATGTCGTGTAATATTGTCCCAAAACCAAGTTAATAGACCATTTCGTAGTTAGCACATGGGTCAAATGACCCCAAATTTCCACAGATCTTTTACTCATGGAGAAGTTCCACTTTGTGTATTTTAGAATAATCAATGCCAAAGTCATGTATGTGCTTCCTGAAAAGCTTTTGTTTGTCCTCTTGTATCATAATAATGTACCGTAGGTGCACACATGACTAGTAGGGACTTTTAGATTCTGCACGACGAGAACGCGGACTGCCCTTTTAAGGCAATGTGACGTCACTGTCAGTGCCTTAAAAGGACGTCACATTGCAGTCCACGCTCTCGTCGTGCAGAATCTAAAAGTCCCTAATGATTACCTAACATGAGCACGTATTCATCTCTGTGCGTTTTACAATTTTATCGGAAATGACCTTTATCTGCCCATGCGCAGATAGTATTTAGGAAATGGAGTACCCTCATAATTATTTATACCCTGCCAAGCTGCCCAGTTTGAGATGCACTTAAAAGCCAAGTTTATATCTGTATAATCCTTCGTCATAGAAAGACCAAGTGCATTCACTATCCACTTCTCAGGAAAGACCACCTCTATTATGTTTAAGCCCCATAGATAAAACTATCAAGTAGTCCATTTTCTGGCGGGATCCTTTATGCCTTTGTGATGGTGGCCCTCACACATGTCTTTGTACCTTTAGCAGGGAGTGTTTTAGGGGTTAACCCCTCCTCAAAAAAACAAAAATTGTTCTCACACCCTCCTCCCCCCCCCCCCCCCCCACCCACTGAGCAAAATATCGGCCCGCACGATTTTCTATCTAGCTAGCTCTCTCTTCATCTTGTGTTTTACATAATTTGGAAGTTCATAATGATGTGACTGATTTGATTCTCCAAAGGTTGGAGATGATAAATACTCTCATATGACTCCGGAATTACAAGTCTCTCCTCGCTGCTTCATTTCATGTACCTCTCCTACTGCCAATAACAAATAAACCGATCCCAACACAACACTTATTTGGAAAATAAGTGTTTTAGAACATAGATCTTTGCACGAAATTCATGATATTCTAGGGTGGGATACTTAATCTCATTTAATGTACAACATTCTGCACGATGATGCTGTACATTATTTGCAGGAGAAAATTATTTTTAAATGATAAGAAAGCTGCTAAAGATAATCAAGGTGAACCTACCTATATTTTGGGCTGAATACACATAATTGCAAACGTACTTTTCTATATCGTGGTGGTAAATTTATATAATCACTTGCCCTTTAATGTTCGAAAATAACTTTGGATTGTTTAACAAAGAAGTAAACAACAAGCGCGTAGCCAGGATTTCATTTTAGGGAGGGCGGTAGTGAGCACGCGAAGCGTGCGAATCACTTACAGAGCGCGCGTAGCGCGCTCCCTAGGGGGAGGGTGCAGGGAGTTTCCCCCCTCCCGCGCGAAGCGCGAAAGCTTTGAGGTTTCATCAAATTATAAGAGAAAGAAGACGATTCGTTGGACCGTTCTCGAATCTTAATCCTAGTAAATTCAGTTTCTGTTGACGTTTCATTAGGGAAAGAAGACGATTCGCTGTACCGTCCTCGACTCTTAATCTTTGTTTGAATCAAGTTCCCCTGCCTCCGCGCGTAGCGCGGAAGCTCTGAAGTTTTATTAGATTATTAAAGAAAGAAGACGATTCGTTGTACCATTCTCGACTCTTAATCCTTCAGTTTCTTTTGACGTTTCATTAGAGAAAGAAGACGATTCGCTGTACCGTCCTCGACTCTTAATCCTTTTTTTTGTATCAAGTTCCCCTTCCTCCGCGGAAGCTGTAGCACGGAAGCTCTGAAGTTTTATTAGATTATTAAAGAAAGAAGAAGATTCGTTGTACCATTCTCGATCGACTCTTAATCCTTGTCTGAATTCAGTTCCCCCCCCCCCCTCCCCTCCCGCGGCCAGCTTTGACGTTTCATAAATTATTAGAGAAAGAAGACGATTCGTTGTAGGCCTACCGTTCTCGACTCTTAATCCTTTTTCTTCCTACGTCCTCTTCCTTTCTTCTTTTTTTCTCTCTTTTTTTTTTTGGCCGGCGTTTTTTTTTTTTTTTTTTGGGGGGGGGGGGCGACCGCCCCCACCGCCCCCTGGCTACGCGCCTGGTAAACAATGAATCCATATACCAAGAAAATAGTAAATGTATCATGTAGTTTAAAGGTCTAACTGTAATCTGTATTATAAGTATATTTTATTTTATGAAAATGGACCCTTCAATCAATAAAACTACAATTAAATTAAGCTAGGGGATGGGAAGGGTAGGTGGCGTAGGTCCTAGGAATGTTTGTTGTTCATATAAGTATACGCACTCTGTTTCAGGGTTTTTGTTCATATTATTATTATTATTGATTAACTAATTAGTTGTAGAGGTGCTGTGGTCGAGTGGATACGTCGCCGGACTGTCGATCACAAGGTCCGCGGTTCGAGTCCCACTGCCGCACTAATGTCCTTTGGCAAGACATTGATCTACATTTGCCCCACTCCATCCAGGTGAAGTAACTGGGTACCTGGTAGGAATTTATTCCTTGAAATGCTAGAGTATGGTAGCCGTGCTAAAGCCAGGGTAATAATCGGGAGCGCCAGGAGGGTCAAATCTGACTGACATGAGCGCTATACAAGAACCCACTATTATTATTATTATTATTATTAGTAGTAGTAGTCAAATTTGTTTAAGCGGGGGGGGGGGGGAGAGTGAGCACTATTTTTTTTCTTCTTTTCTTTATCCAGTTCGTGAGAAAATGAGAAAATATTTAGTGGGGAATCAGCCAGCCGATGAATAAGCGGGGGGGGGGGGGGGGGGGGGTAAATGTGAGCACTAAGTTAAACAAAAAATCAAAATCAAAATCAAAATGGGGGTCAAAATGGGTGGTCTCCCTTCTGTTCTGACAAAACATCGAGGACGTTTGATACGATGTCCCCCTTGGAAAAATCGTGGGGGTCGTGTCCCCCTTTCCCCCCCCCCCCCCCCCTGATTGACGCCCTTGTACTGTACACAGAAAGATGTATATGGGACTACCCTATATCTATCCAGTCCGGATTTATATAATAATGTACCCATTTTATCAATTAGTAGGCGGTTTCCCGGCAAAATGTTATCGTCACTTATTAGTCAAAACATATTCATTCACATGATTGGTAATAAGAGCTTCCATTTATTTTTTGAGAGGGGGGCGTTTCCAAAACTGATCTTTACTTTTAAGCGCTTTATAAACCCAGAATATTATTGATATATTGTTAAAAAAAATATTCGTGAAAGTATCCAGTACAATTATAACTGTTTTTTCCGATCAACTTAAGCAATTATGATTGTGACCAACTTAATAATAATGATCGTTTACTTAATGGTACTACAAAATGGCAAAATATCTTCTTCTTTGAGTTTGGCATAAAGTAGGCGTGCATTTGCAAAAAATTAGTGTGATCCATTATTACCTTAAACTTTATATTTTTGTCGCATCATTTTTTAAACAGTGTGCATGTTCTATGACACAGAAGGAAACATGTACATTTTAATGTATCTCCTTGGGCATATTATTGATTCCGTTTGGAAATGTGTCTAATTTATTGGGCGCACATGCAAAACGTACACGTGCAAACCTCATATTTACTTGTAAATGGCGTCAGGATTACTTAAAAGATAAGAGATGCACTATAGAATGAAAGGAATTATTGACACATGCACAAAGTTTCTAAGCATTTTGTCGATCCTCCTTGAAACTCTCAGATTGTGAAGGGTCCTACAGAATGAATCCCTAATGTTGCCATTTTTATCATTCTGAGAATAAAAGTGGACTTAGGCTCTCTTCACGAAAAAAGATATTCACTCATGGCAGGCTATCCTGATCGAAACAAAGTAAGATCATTGAGGTAGTTAAAGGGGCAGGGGAACTAAGCCCTCACAAACTACCCCCCCCCCAACAACAACAAAAAAAAGAAGAAAGAAAAAAGGGAGATTAAAAGAGAAAATGAACCTGAAAAGAAGACACTATGACCTCCTTTATACACCACCCCACCCTTATAAATGAATGAACTTCTAATTTACATATCATCCACACAAAGAAGACCACCCCACCAAGGTGCCGGTGCCTCTTTAATATAAGTCTACATGTTCCCACACTAGTATGCCACTGAGTAAGATCACCATAATATCCTTAGAATCTTGAAAACAACTGCTTGGACACATTCTATTGAATGCCCATGTCAATCATGGAATGGGATGGGGATATAATCGTTCGTTCGTGTCTCCTTAGATCAAGATTACTGTAATCTTGATCTTCGGAGTAGTTGCTACAACCGGCCGTGTCAGACACGTTGCCCCGGGGTGCGAGATAGGACTCTTGTAGCGTGCCCCCATTTAAAACAATTATACAGTTACAGTTAACAATACATTTAATTAATAGTATGAAACTATTAAAATTACTCTCACGTTACGGGAAAAAATATTGCATATACATATATTATGAATCAATTGATTTGGTCGATCCAGTTAGATTATGTAACTATTCACTCTTCCTTTGTACGGGTCCCCTCTCCTATCCCTGCCTCCCTTTATTCGTCTCCACTTGGGCATAAAGGGATACCCAAGACTATGATATTACTCACGCACTGTTGTGTCGTTCCAGGAAGATGACCTCCCTGGTTGTTCCGAATTCTCAAAGTGCTGTCTGATGGTCATTGATGCCGACCGTTCTTATCTCTGGTGGGACAATTAATGTTCTTTCTATGAATAGCAGACGGCAAGATGACTGCCCTCCCCCGCAGTCCTTTATATCCGAAATCAAACTTTAACCTTGGACTTAAAAACCTAGGTCCATGCTTGTAATAAACCCGAGAGCAAAAACTGTAGAGGTGTCAATCGTATAGTCGTCACACTTGAATAGATTATGTAAAGTCGTTGGTTCGAGCCCCAGTACGGCACTAATGTCCTTTTGCAAGACATTAATGTCCATCTGCCACTCTTCCCCACGGTGTAATAAAGAAGTTCTATGAATATTGTGAGCACTTATATCGGTAGCTTGTCGTAAGCCAGTGTCAGATTAGAGGGCTTCTGATACCTCTTGTGGTGGATGATAATTATGAGCACTATATACAGAAGCCAATTATTGAATGCAAATATGCGGATTCTTATGTGATTGTGTTTTCTCTCACCCAACAGAGAGAGCCTGTGGGCCGTTACTTGAAACCCATAAAGTTCTAACTTCTTGGACTTCCCATTGATATGTGTGTTATAGAATATTTTACAAACACGCGTTTCTATGGGAAGTCCACGAACTAAGGGTGCGTTTATCAACTTTGCCACTCAAAAACAGCATTTCTATACATATAATTATGAAGTATATAGAAACACAGTAAACGAACGTGATTTTTCGATCTTCTTGTAGTTTTAAGCGTATAGCTGGCATGTGCACGCGATGACAATACACTCAATATAGTTGAATCATTCCTTAATTGTTGTAAAGATTATAATTGATTTGTAATATTTTGTTGGAAACAGAAATAAAATTGAATTGAATTGAATCGCATTATACGTAAACAAACGTTAACAATGGACGTAAGCATACAACACAGCGCATGGCGCGCGCTTTTTCTCCGAACCGGAAATTAGCCTGGGAAGGTCCGAAACATATTGAACAGCTTTGCGTTTAATCATCTCTCAGAAACGTCATTCTAGCTCATAGTAGGTATCAAAACGCACTTTTTCGGCGTTTCAATATGCACATAATTATATAAAGACGTATGCCTAAATGTGTCTGCGTTTATCAACATGCAAATTTGCCGGAATTACGTTTGAAAACGCTGAGTTATTATGCTAGAAAGGAGTTGATAAACGTACCCTTCGACTTATGACCGTTTCGAGTAACGGCCCCCTTGAGAAGGCTAATGGGGTTTCCTAAATCATGATCCTGTGAATAATTTAATCATAATCACGGATATGCCCCCTTTCAACGTTGTCAATTCTAACTCCCAACATATTTTACCACGTATTGTATTCTTGATATGCTTACGAACTATTAAGTATAGCGTAAGCCTGATAAGAAGTTAAGAGGATAAAAATACGCCCAGTTTCATCTTCTCCGCAACGAGTCATTCATGGCCTGTTTGGGTAAACTGCGTGAGGGAAAGTGTGCGCAAGAGGCCAGTTTGGAAATACAATCTAAGCACATGCAGACCGGTTAACCAACATATTCAAATGTTATGAATATTTTCATACAAAGGTTGTTCTTGACAACCTGCAAGCTTGTTCGAGGCTTGCCCGACGTATCAACATGCAATGTATGCGGACTGGATTCCAAGTATTGTAACAATACTGGAATCCAGTCCAGTAATTTATTCATCATCACTAGGTCCCCAGGAAAGAAAGATCCATACATTTGAATATCTTAGTAACCGGTCTATTAACAAACCAACTGAAAAAAAATACTGAATTAGTGCTCATTAATGTTTATTATCGGTTTATTCATGCCCTACCCCTATATTCCATGGTATACGGGTGATAGAACCTTTTTTTCAAAAGGGGGAAATATCGAAGCTATTCGTGGAGCACCTCCATTACTCTAAAAGTGATTATTCTTAAATTCACAAAGTGGGACCTCTTCATGTTTACAAGGTCCGTGAATATTTTGGGGTTCTTTTCTACCATGGGCTAATTACGAGCCGGTCAACTGTCCTCGAAGACATTAATTCAAATGTATTATATCCCAATTTGCAAAATTTTAAGTATAACTGTCTGTAACCTAGCTGGTTCAGACATTATTAATCCATTAGATGTTTGTTAATACAAAAGAATGTTAGGGGTGACAAAGGATGATCTACATCTAGCCTATATATACCACATAATGATTTACTTAATTTCAAAACGACTGGGGAGTTAACCTTCAAAAATAAAGACCTCACTCCACAACTTTAAGAGCTGTGATTTTAGTGCATTATTGACAAATTTCTTACAAAAGTCATGAGCAAATCCGCAGTTGTCCATTTCAGATTGATTTACGGCTACTCTTATTTGGATTTATAAAAGTTCTCATCATCATGGTCTTAGATTCTTTCTTTTTTGTACGGTACATGAACCCCCCCCCCCCCCGTCTAAAAGTTAATCACTGTCTTGCAACTTTTTTTCCTGTTCCTTTTTTAATCTACCTGGATTAAAATACCGCGTCAGGCCCTGTGTTAACTCCTTTGTTGTATGTGCGTCTGTATAAAAATGGCGCCGTGCAGATCGAGGTTGGTAGGGGGGGGGGGGACACTGAACACTAATCTAATTCAATGAGCCGGAAAGACAGTTAGCTTTACATCTTATAGAAAAAATCCAAATCCAATCGTACGTGGTAAGTGGTTAAAAGAATAAGATTGCACACACACGTCTTTTTATTTTTTTAATCTTAAAAGGCTTATTAAAACAGAATAGACGCACACTCTAGCTGACTGACTCGCGATTTTCACAGTCCATCACCTTTAAAACGTAGAAAAATGATCGAGTTCAAAGCCCAACAGTCATATCAACCTTTAGGAAACTATGTGTCCAACTTGGTAGATGTTTGCTCAATTCGGAGTGAAAGGCGATGGCAAAACATCCCTTAAGGTGAATACTAAATTGCCTAAAAGCTGGTCGAATACACAATGGCCTCAGCTGGATAGGTTTAAACCCATATTTCTATATCATCTTTACGCTAAGTAGCACACATTAAATTCATGCCGAGTACTAGACCATTGTGACCAAAGTGTGAAAGAAACTGTATCTTGAAATTATTGGGAACAATAATTGATTAAGAAAAAAAATGGCGTTTAAACTCTTCAAAGTGGAAATGATGAGGTCATGAAAATCAAAATTTGATTCACATTATTTTGTAGATTATTTCTCGCCATTAATAAATTTTGAGTCTTCGTTTAATTTGACATTGCAAAAAATGACGGTCTTCCACATAATTATAGTGAACGGAAATATAATAAAATTAGAACGCTCACAAACAAGTTATCACTTTAACTACAACTCGTCATTCTCTGTAAATGTGCTGGGCGTTATTTTAAAAACAAAAATACTACTTACCCCAATAATCAATGCTGCCACAAAAAGCACCGGCCATATGGTTTTATGGAGTGAATCGTTGGTGTGCTGGACGCGAGCGATATTCTCCGATTCTGAAAAAGGTGAAAGAAAAATGATTGCGTTCATTGTCTCAACGATGATCTGTATAAGTATCAAATCATAAACCGTTTTAATAATAATACACCAAGGGCCCATATTCACATAACATTATAAGCCCATTTGGCAACTGAATTGCTCTCTAGTTGTGATCTAAGAATTAGCAGGTAATCATAAGACCTCATTAAGTTTAGTTTGCAACTATAGGCCCTGTTCATGAATCCTAGTTGGTAGCTAAATGGCCCCTATAGTTGTCAACTAAATCTACTTTAGTTGCCAACTATATCAAACTGGTATTCATAAAACCTGACTTAGGTCAGTTGGCAACTAAATCTCTCCCCAAATTTAGAGTCGATAAAGGGTAACTCATTACTTGTGGGCAAGAGTGGTCAGGATCTCATAGAATTGGAAGAATTTTGTCACGAAAAGGGAAGAGAGAGGGTATATATTTCAGGATAGGAGGAATCCCACAGACACACTAAATGATGCAGACTAGTTAAGTGCTACGGATTCCCCGATAAATGTCATCTCAACCCCAAATAAAAAATAAAAGACCTTTTTGTGGCCATTCTGAAAATCATTTCCTTTCCAACTTTGTTCATCCTCTCTCCCCATTGAAGAGTTTGTATCGAACAACATTTTGCACAGTGCATTCATGTACTTGCACATTTTTCAACGAAACATACATTCACAACAAGACAACAAGTAGTGTTATAAACACTTTAACAAGGCTATAGAGCTCTTCGAATAAAGAAAAAAACAATAGATAGGAAAAAAAGGGAAAACAGAAAAAAGAAAGAGCTAGAAAAGGAACCCCAGAGCGCTTTATTCTATTCTCTATTTGACATTAAATCGATTGACAAAAATAGACTGGCAGCGCTGCGCAAGGACTTATGTAAATTAGTAAACTTCCAGCCTATGTTGTACTTAATTCTAATTTCACCACCCATGTCTACTCCACCAGCAGGCACACAATAGCTAAAGTTCTCAATTAATTATTGAGGTAGTTACCTTCGTATAAGTGGTAACTATGGTAACTAGCTAGGTACCACCTAAGCCCTGAAAGACAACTAGCTTAGTAAAACAAAATTGAATATAGGTTTTGATCGATAAAGAAAAATTGTATCATATTATTGTGACAAAGGCAAACTGTGTTTATCTTCACATTCTATTATTAGAAGTTTAATATGAGGGAAAGTTGACTTGTACACATAGTGCGCAATGCCATTGTCATTTTGCTATTGCTCTCTCTCTCTCTCTCTCTCTCTCTCTCTCTCTCTCTCTCTCTCTGATTTATATGATACAAAAATATAGTAGCCGTATATGTACAATGTGTTCTGTAGGTAAAAATGGTAACAATGCTTCTCCTGTCGATTTGTCAATGAATTTTATTTGTGAGAAGAAAATTGACGTCATTTCTAATCAATCCTGAAAAATCATTAAAGTTCAAAGGAAAGTGGTTATTACTCTTTAAAGGCCCACTGCACTACTTATAGCTACTTGCGCCCTCTATATAACAAACAATGCCTAATCGGTGACCATTGGTCCCCCATGATCCTCTTTTTCTTATGTTAACTGAGAGCTGAGTTAATGAGATAACCACCTGTTCAGTAACCGTGCAGGGCGGTCTAATCCCTCCTGTAAACTACGGCAGATAAGCTTTAAAAAGAAATATTTTAGCAATATTCATCCTCCTTCCTCTAATTTTTCTTTACATTTCTATTGTGATAATATAATGCCCACAGGTTCACACGCACACCAACCCTCATCTCCCTCTCTTACGAACACACCCACACACATCGTTATAATACATACGTCATGTACAACAATCCATGTTTACGAATCTGTCAGAGCGGGTTGGACGTGCGGGGTGCGTGAGTTTTATGTGCGTTGGTCATTGTGTGCGTGGTGTGTGCGTGTGTGCGCGTGTGTGGGTGCGCTTTATACTTACTCGATAAAGATGAATTATTTTCTGGTGAGGCTGTAACTTTGTTGTATGTCACACCCACTGAGCTAACACGGTTGTCAGTGAATAATGTTGTAGTGGAAACAGATGTTGCTGCATCAGTTGACGTAACTTCTAATGTGGTTTGAACTAAAAAGAATTGAAAGAGAGCGGCATAGAAATTTTATGGTAAGAAACTAAAACGAAACGAGACTTTATAGGGATAGTTTCACACAAATATTTCAATATACTTTCTGGCAAATTTGACTATTTCGCCTGCCTATATTTCAATGAGTGCTGGCGTTCAAAGGATTTTTTTGCACCTGCTATTACAAAAACATAGTAGTGCATTTTAAATATTCAACTTTATTTTAGACCAAGTGAGAATGCAATTTAGCTGTTCAAGTTCACGTATCCAATAGGCATGCAGGAAGGAGTTGCGGGACTCTGATTTGTATCCCTTTCCCAATTGAAATACCATTTTAAGTTTCGAGATGATATCTCTTTGATCAGGTAGATATTATGTCTTGTATGCAAAGAGTTTGTTAGACATCTTCTTGCAATTATAAAGACCTCATGTTTCGTTACCTAATTTTCCATTTTTTTCAAGTTTGATAAATAAATGTTAGTTTTCATTTGCCATTCCTTTAAAGTTCTTTTTCTAATTTTCCCCATTTCCTTAATATTCGACGTTTTTCTGCTATTTACTTCTCAAATACGGTTTAATCTTACTCATAGCCTATTCAATTGAAATTTATTAGTAGTCCGCATAGCTCTCTTTTTTTGTTTACCCCTTTTTTTTTAAATCAGAAAAACGACTTATTAAATCACGTCTCTTAATCCTACTCTATCCTGTCTAAAGGCCTCCAGCGCATAGGAATCGCTTTGAAACCCCGGATCGTTCGTTCCAGACCGCAAGTCTTCCTATTATTCCCCAGTGAACTTAATGAAGCATTCCATGGAAAACAGCTATCTATTCATCAATACAAGAGATTAAAACCATCAACAGGGAACTTATCCACCCCAGTCAGGTTTGATAAAAGATTTAGAGACAAGTTGCCCCGTTTTATTTTTACCCATGCACTAGTTGGAGATTCAAATATCTTAATTCACTATTTCTCATTTATATTAATGTCTGTCTTTCTCCTTTCATCTCAATATTTCTGCTATACTTCTACAATAATATTGTGCATTCTTTTAGTTCTTACTCCTTTTTCAAGTTGAAAGAAAATACTTGAAACTTAAAAGGTAAATTGTCAAGTACCTGTAGTGGGAAGTGATATGACGTTCAGCATTTTTGTGGGATGCTTGTAGCACGAGCCTGTTGTCTTGTCTGTTAAGCAACAACCATACAATCCGGAGTCTTCCGATTCGACACGAAGTATTGTCATTGTGCAAGTGACCTTGTTATCGGCAAAAGTCGGGCCAGATCGGAGATATTTCAGGTTTTCTTCAATAATCGTCTCATTCTTGGTGAAGCTGATCGTAGCACATGAAAAGTGGGGGCTGGTTCCGCCAGAGATGAACACCCGGCAGTATAGCGTGACGTTCGAGTACTCGGCAGTCGCCCATCCTTCTTGACTTTCGATAAAAGTGGCTGAGGAAAATGAGGAAAAATTATTGATCTCAAATCAATTTGAAACATAATTTTAAGGCAGTTTAATCAAAATAATGACGTTGATTTAAAGTAATGCAGTGTTATAGTGGTATTGATAATGATAATGTAGAATAGTATAACCTCACTTATTAAACTAGGGCTATTTGTACGTTCAATTAAATCATGAAGAAATGACAAATCTTGAAGGAAACTAGTTGGCAATACTATAATAACCCTTATTCATGACGTCGTGTGAACGCTATCAAAACCAAAGGTGACAAATCCTGAAATATGTTTGTATAACGATTGCATTTTCCCCTGTATGTCTTCTGATTAAACCCGATATGGTGACTCGAGTTAGAAACAAAGGAGAAACTTAGACTAGGCAACACCCCCGCCCCCGCCCCCGCCCCCTCCACTCCGGGAACGGAGGGACCGCATGCGTGTTCCTAAAATCTCCGGCTCGTAACAAAAGAAAAAGGTCTACCCGTATTGACTTTACACACCGGACTTATGCTGAAAAGGGGGGGGGGGGGGTGGTGGGAACACGCATATGCGAAGCCTAAATAACACTGAGTGGGGGGGGGGGGGGGGAACACCTCGGTCTATATATAACTTCCTTTGTTAAACTCAATATTTTAAGGCCGAGCTTAAACCCATCGTCTGGTCTAGATTTAAGTAGGATATTGACATATTTCGTCTTTAGCCAAACTTAGAAGTTTACAAGGTTTGACGTGGCTTATCCTAGATCGAGGGTCACCTTGATTAATTGTGTATATTCTACGAAAGAGAATACAACTAGCTGTTTCCTTTATGCATGACAACATGTGGTTTAAATCCGATTGCAAAACTGAATTATTATACTACATGTATTAAAGGATTTCATGCCGGTATCAAAGTTGGAACCATAAGGCAATACTTATGCTTTACATAACAAAAATTACACCCCTTTTTTTCTTATGACGGTGGGAGAAAATCGTAACAGAACTTGATCTTAGAAATACAGTAGGCTTGCGGGTGCACCACGTGAGAGAGAGAAAGAGAGAGAGAGAGAGAGAGAGAGAGAGAGGGTTGAGGAGTCCTGGAAAGGACTCTGACTGGGTAATCTTTCTTGGGGGAGTGTAGTCTCTCTCTCTCACATGGTGCACCCGCAAGCCTACTGTATATCTACATCACCATACAAGCCGACACTTACAAGCAGCATCTTGATCTTAGAAGTAGTGCATAGAAATGAAAAATATACATATTTTTTTAAAACCATCATTTTCTGGTTCATTTCTTCGGATTCTTTGTTACCGTCTTGTTTGCGTTTGCCTGCCAATATATTTTATATCCCTGTTCTATATGGACAAAGCAATAGTAAGTTGAGGATTAAGGTTGACCTGGTTGAGTGGAGTCAACCCTAACTTTCTCAAAAAGAATCTCTGAGTCCTACGAAATCAATTTCTAAACTGTCTAATCAATTTAGCCATATTCAATCAAGTTTTGTAATGATTAATTACATTCGTATAAACAGGATCATACGTTTTTTAGTACTAAATTTCCGAACTGAGTTTCTACAATTTTGCAAAGCTACCAATTTTTTAGTAAATCAGTATCAAATAACAGATTAAACGAATCTATTTTAATCCTATCGAATCGAATGCAGTAAATTCCAGAGCCTATAATGATAATCAATGTGGATAATGTGTTTTCGTACTCTGATCGTTCAACAGAAGCGGATCTAGAGGGGGGTTGGGGGGTTGCAACCCCCCAAAAAAAAAATCCGAGGACCATTTTTTTAAATCTTATCTTTTTTTTTAAACTTGTAATTTTATTTTATTCTATTTCTATGTATTTATTTCATTTATTATTATTATTATTATTATTATTATTATTATTATTATTATTATTATTATTATTATTATTTCTTTTTGGGGGGAGGGGGGGGGGGGGTTGGGCGAACAAATGTCACAGAGTCGCTTGCCCTCCCCCCCCCCCCATCAGCTTTTTTGAAGACACGGGCCACCGCCGAAGTGACAAGCTAGGCCAGCGTTGCCGATTCTCATCCCCAAAATCCCCACATTAAAAAAAAAAAAAAATTGGGGGATTGTTGAAGTCTTTGGGGATGAAAAATAAATATTTGGGAATGAAAATAATATTGAGTTTTATGAAAAACGAATTTGGGGATTTTCTGTCAAAATTTGGCAACTTTGGGGATATTTTAAGTGTCGTTTGGGTGGGGATTTTGTGAAGATTTAACCTGGCAACGCACGCTGAGCTGGGCTGCTCATTATGCTATTTACCTTCCGGTTCCGGAAATGAAAATGCCGATAATAATCTTTTATCATAAACAAAATACTCACAAAATACCAATGCCTAATAATATTTCAGACATATTAGTTCTAATCTAGTTATTTCCTTTTGCTCCATACCGTTCACGGACTGGAGCAAAAGAGATAATCGTTTTCTTAATCACTATCGCCTGAAATAAAAATAAATGGTAATAGACTTACATCTAGTGGCATCCTCCCACAGGCGCGGATCTACGGGGGGGGGGTTTAGGGGGTTTAACCCCCCCCCCCCTTGGGCGGCCCAAAAAACAAACAAAAAAAAAAAAAGGAGAAAAAAAAAAAAAAGAAAGAAAAAAGAATGCACGCTGGAGAGAAACCCTTTCAAGCGCAAATATTGTGAGAAGATATTCAACTCATCTGGTAACTTAACCAAACACATGATAACTCTGGTTATAACAGTGTATTTAACTGTTACTTGATTTAAAAAGACGTTATCATGCACTGCTTTTTATGGTCTCCATTGTGTTAATAGATGCCAGGAAAACATCACTTACGAGGTTCAAATAAACACCCAAAAAAAAATCGGCTCGCCGCTTCGCGGCTCGTGGACGATGCTCCGCATCGTCATTATTTTGGTCAACCCCCCCTTAGCAAAAAGCTAGATCCGCCCCTGTTCAACCACTTTGTGTTACGCAAAAAAAAAAAAGCGACACAAATAAAATCGACGCCGGATTTTACATTCATTATCAACCATCCAATTGTGTCAGTATTTTTAATAGTTTTTTAAATAACGGATTAAACGAAGTTTAACGTACCATGTATTTTTAATTTCTTAATTTCCAGTCGAGCAGTAATCCATCTCCTAAAGGAATCCAGTTCGGCAAGTTTTTGTTATCATCAAGTTGTGTACAAAATAATTCATCAATTTGATAGATTTTTAATATGTCTTCTGGTACGTTTTGTTAGACATGACATGTGTGGCAAGGGTTAAACATATTTTAATCTCATTTTAATTTGTCAAGAGAACTCATCAGATGGCACAGCATGCATATCCACATACAATGATGTGATATACTACGCTCCGGGGAACCTGTTCGGAAGATCGTCTACCCAGAAATAAAGGGAAAAAAATGCAATGACTTAAAGGTTAAGACCACTCCAAAAATAATTTGCTTTGAACAGATGCAGAAAACCAAGAGAAACAGGGCAAATTAAATTTAAGTAAAATCGGATAAAGAAGTTATGACTTTGTTACCAAGTATGAAAATCTATCGAACTTAGAAAATCACTAGACAAATTGCCAATTTGGTTATCAGTTTAGGACGTCATTAGTGACATTGCCTCACTATATTAATAAATTGCTTTATAATTACATGTATATTATGATCCCATTAATTTCCCTTTTTATCACCAAAAACTTGATTCCCCCATGCCTTTGCCCAGCTTATATGTTTTGTATCATATTGCGTGCATGAAATTTCACAAAATATTTTATGAACTTTGAAGAATAATTGATACTATTTTCTGAATATCGTATATTCATAATCAGTGATTTTTATATAAATAGTTTATCAAATCCACATTTTTCATGATTTAACTGAAAAATTATTACTCTATATTAGTGCATTTTATAAATTTATATTACCAATATAACGAAAACAATTAGCGGGTAGTGAGGCAATGACGTCACAGACTCATGAGTGAGCTGCCAATTTGTCTAATGATTTTTCAAAGTTTTTTATGTTATTAAAAATTCATAACTTTCTTATTAATTTATCCGTTCTTTCTTAAACTTGTTTTGGTTGGTTTGGCTGATTTTTCTGCTTCTATTGAAAGTAAGTTATTTTTTGTAGTGGACCTTAAGCTCCGCCCCATTATCATGGCTCTGAAGTGTTTCTTTGCCAAGTTTCGCTATAATGTCAAAATAGAAGGTCGTCTCACTCGGTCGCTACGCTTTCTCGAAATGCGGAATTGGCGATACCAGTGGCGGGATGCCTTTCTTCATGTGAAGAGCGAAAGGGATAACCCTTTAAAAAATATGGGAAATCACCAAATATTGTCTGATAAAATTAATGATTATTTAGCGCTGCCTAACTCATCCATTCGAGAGTGCAAATGTATACCTTTAAGTCAGATGTTCATATGCCTATGTCATCAAAAATAATGTGGTAGTTAAAACTATAAACTACTGAAGAGCTAAAAATTTCTCCTCATAAACAATATAATGAAGATATAACTCCAAGGGTGTCGTTTTATTGACAAATATTTATTGTTATACCAAAAGGTGCACAATATTCGTATTACGGAGAAGAGGCTCTACTTCGTGTACACTCGAATACCCTTCCCCGCTGCAGTGGTTGCTAGTGCTACACAATGCTTCCCATGCATGTTGTATCCTTATGAACACATACTTTTATCTCTTCTTCTTTTTTTTTCTTTTCTTTTTTTCACTTCTTTCGTTTTTCTTTTTCTCTAATCCACATATCTGCAAAGGTTTCCTTGTTTTTTATATCCTGATTAACCTTCCTCCATTGCCTGTTAATATTTTTTCTGTTACTTTGACAAACCTTTTCTATACAGCGCATTTTCCATTTCAAAACATCGTTCTACATGCAATTATTTGATTTCTCAGTGCACTACTGTTTCTATGGTTCAGCATGTAATGCTTTACTGATTTCCTTCTTTTGTCTTTCCTTTTTATCTTTGATTATGCCTCTCTGTTTATCCCTTATTATTTTATTTCATCCTTTATCTTGTTGATTTTCATGCAGTCATCTTCTCTTTCGGTTTGTGTAAATACCCGGCCCCCCACTCAGGGGTCGAATGACCGCATGCGTGTTGCCAAAATATCCGGTAAAGGGTGCTTTTCGTGCGACAAAGTCCGGCCCGAGAATTGTAAAAAAAAGGGTTGTATTTGACTTTTCACCCGGAGATTTCTTTAAAAAGGGGTGTTTTTTTCTTTTTTTCTCTCATCTCTTTGGACTCCTGAGAAGTTATTCAGAATTTAGGGGGTACATTGAGCATTTTTCCTGATTTAGGGGGGTCTCCAACGGGCAGGAAAAGCCCGCGAAAAGCCCGCGAAAGGGGGGTTCGGAAATGTTGGCAGTCCTCAGATAGGGGGTGCTTTCAAAAAGAGGGAACGAGCATATGCGTACCCTAAATAACACTGAGTGGGGGGGGGGGGGCCGGGTGTAAATATAATTCGCCGCACGGGTCATAATTATTTTTCGCCAGAGGGATGTAGCTCACGCCACTCGCCCGATTATTGACTTTCCAGTATCTTAATGGCACTAGGGCTAAAGAGAAAAGCTTGCTGTTGCTAATACTTGAGTTGTATTTCTTTAAAGAATAGTGAAATAACATAAAAACAGGAATCACAAATCACACTGCTAGCCACTTACCTGCCGAATGGACCTGTATAAAATCCTGAGACAGAATAAGGATGACGAAAGTCACGACTGATATTCTAATTCCTTCAGATGACAACATTTCCAAGTGGAGTGGAAGGAAAATGAAAAAAAGAATTGTTCGTTGATGGCTGGAAATCCCAACAGGAAATCTTGAGATAAACCCACTTGCAGGGGGTTAGTCCGAGTCTACTTGAGGACCATATCACCCGCTATCCAATCCATGATAGACGAATATATCTTCCATACCATTGTGGCCCAAGCGAGAGGCGGGTGAAATAACCCGAAGGTTTCTGCCGCTCGAATGAGTACAACCAGGGAGGTGAGACAGTAGTCGCGCAGTGCTATAGTATGGTTACTGAGCCGTTACTGAGGCCGAACTATTATTTCTCGGAAGAATGTCAGATTTCCTGATCAACTTTTGTTAGCTTAATAATAAGACTACATTGGGAGTCGTCCATAAAATAATAAAAAAATAGTCCATAGACGCTAATCTGATAATAGGAATTCAAATGTACTTTAATGCATGTTTTTTAGGATGCGTCATCAGGGGCGGATCTAGCTTTTTGCTAAGGGGGGGGGGTTGACCAAAATAATGACGATGCGGAGCATCGTCCACGAGCCGCGAAGCGGCGAGCCGATTTTTTTTTGGGGTGTTTATTTGAACCTCGTAAGTGATGTTTTCCTGGCATCTATTAACACAATGGAGACCATAAAAAGCAGTGCATGATAACGTCTTTTTAAATCAAGTAACAGTTAAATACACAGTTATAACCAGAGTTATCATGTGTTTGGTAAAGTTACCAGATGAGTTGAATATCTTCTCACAATATTTGCGCTTGAAAGGGTTTCTCTCCAGCGTGCATTCTTCTTTCTTTCTTTTTTTTTTTTTCTCCTTTTTTTTTTCCTTTTTTTTTTTTTTGTTTGTTTTTTTGGGCCGCCCAAGGGGGGTTTAAACCCCCTAACCCCCCCCCCCCCCGTAGATCCGCGCCTGTGGGAGGATGCCACTAGATGTAAGTCTATTACCATTTATTTTTATTTCAGGCGATAGTGATTAAGAAAACGATTATCTCTTTTGCTCCAGTCCGTGAACGGTATGGAGCAAAAGGAAATAACTAGATTAGAACTAATATGTCTGAAATATTATTAGGCATTGGTATTTTGTGAGTATTTTGTTTATGATAAAAGATTATTATCGGCATTTTCATTTCCGGAACCGGAAGGTAAATAGCATAATGAGCAGCCCAGCTCAGCGTGCGTTGCCAGGTTAAATCTTCACAAAATCCCCACCCAAACGACACTTAAAATATCCCCAAAGTTGCCAAATTTTGACAGAAAATCCCCAAATTCGTTTTTCATAAAACTCAATATTATTTTTATTCCCAAATATTTATTTTTCATCCCCAAAGACTTCAACAATCCCCCAATTTTTTTTTTTGTTTTAATGTGGGGATTTTGGGGATGAGAATCGGCAACGCTGGCCTAGCTTGTCACTTCGGCGGTGGCCCGTGTCCTCAAAAAAGCTGATGGGGGGGGGGGGGGGGAGGGCAAGGGACTCTGTGACATTTGTTCGCCCAACCCCCCCCCCCCTCCCCCAAAAAGAAATAATAATAATAATAATAATAATAATAATAATAATAATAATAATAAATGAAATAAATACAAAGAAATAGAATAAAATAAAATTACAAGTTTAAAAAAAAAGATAAGATTTAAAAAAAATGGTCCTCGGATTTTTTTTTTGGGGGGGTTGCAACCCCCCCAACCCCCCCTCTAGATCCGCTTCTGGTCATGAAATTGATCAATAAAAGATTAATGGGTGGCTGACAGTGATATCGGACTCCTGTGAAATGGCTTATGTGACTTGTTATAATTGATGTTAATATCCCGGGTTTCGATGTCATGACTGGTGGCGGTGGAGGTGCAGGTGTGAAGGGTGATAGAGCGTGAGAGAGAGACAGACACAGACACAGACAGAGACAGAGAGAGGGAGAGAGAGAGAGAGAGAGACAGCGAAATGTTGCAACTAAACGGGCGAGATATTATTTTGTAAAGGACCACCCCCTCAACATTTTCGTGTATGTAACTTACGAGTTGCGTCGCCCGTGGTGAAATAACACTTTTGTTTTTGTTGTTGTTTGTTTATTCGCTTTTGTTTCCATGTATTTATTTCTAGAAAGCTTCCCACCTGATATCTTTGATATCAGGATTTTATGATAATCCCCAACTAGTACCGCATCACGATTTCTCTTCAGTTGATGCACATATTGAAAGGAGTTGATTATCAATATACACTCTTATTTCCACGGCGTCAAAATTCACTCTAAATGGCGTCAGCTTGGAGTCAACTCTATTCCTAGTTAAAGTGACACGGATTCCGAATCAATTTGACTCGGATTGTGTGGCATCAGCTGAGAATTGACTCAATTCAGAGTCAAGATGACTCCTTTTCCGTGTCACTTTAACTAGGAATAGAGTTGACTCCCAGCTGACGCCATTTAGAGTGAAATTTGACGCTGTGGAAATAAGAGTGTAGACCACTCTTGTACTGCATTGTCTCTCCGTATAAATACGAGGTGTTTATCTCTCTTTCCTTCTTTCATCTTACCAAAATGACTAGAGAATGATTAACTTGTTGACTCGCGTTGTATATAACGTTCACTGCCTTCTATGGGAGGCAATTCCAGTGCTTTAATGCCTTTTGAAGGAACGATGGCCCCATTGTGTTCTGTTATAATCAGGAAGAATTACCTGTTGTAAAAACGTCGTTGATGACATGATATTAATACTATAGATTCTCACCTAACATCGGCAGTGCACTAAACAAAAAGTCAATAATGAAGGATAATAAGATAGATCCCCGTAGACCGACAGTCTATACCGACAGTATCAGTCTTTTGTACCAGAAGAGAAGTTGTCAAAAGGCCAGCGAGGCTGGTATTGTTAACATCCTGGGCTCACGGTCTTGCGGCCCGCCATCAGTCTCACGAACCCTCATAACTCTTCCAATTAGAGTCCGTATGACGAAATAGTCTGTCTCATGGGCCGAGACAAGAAGGGCTCGCCATGCACTACAAATAAGGTTCCTCCTCCTTGGATACAAACTGAAGTCCGGAATGATTTATTCTGAAATATCCTCGAACATTAGGATTAACATTCAAGGGTATATGACTGTATGGAAGCTGAAAATGCAGTCTTTTTTTATTAATTTTTTTTTCCAGCCATTATCGATCCACAGCAGAATGGAGGCCTCAGCATGCTGTCTCCAAATGACTCTGTTTAGTGCTTATTGGTGCCAATTAACCTTTCCCCAGTACTGTTGCAGCTCCTTTTTCTTTGACGTCCCCTGTTTCGTTTTCCCTCATATCATACTTATGGTCAGTGGCAGATCCAGGGGGGGGGGCCCGGGGGCCCGGGCCCCCCCCCCCCCCTTGAGAAAAAAAATCATGTAAAATCACGTGATTTTTACCTTTTTGGGGGGTTTGGCCCCCCCCCCCTGGCGCTCAAGGGGGGGGTGCAAATTGAAATTTTTTTGAGGATCAAAAAAAAAAAAAAAAAAAAAAAAAAAATTGTGCCCCCCCCCCCCCCCCCCCCCCCCCCCACTGAGCGACTTTTCGGCCGGCGCGATTTTCAAATTTTCGGGAGCAAAAAAAAAAAAAAGTTGGGCCCCCTCCCCTAAGAAATCCTGGATCCGCGCCTGCTTATGGTGTCCAGTGAGTGATTGCTGAACTCCAGCGATTATAATTTCTACGGCTGATGTGGCCCGCCCAATTTCATTTCCTTCTTTTCACGGTTTCAAGGATGTCATGTCAATCAATACGAAATGACCTGTCTTTCAACAACAAAAAAACTCATTCGCTGTAAATGGTTTGGTTTGTAACCATGAAGTCTACTGGATGGTTCTAGATACAATTACGGTTGGGATGAGAGTGCACTTCTGAGATGGATTTTCAGGTGTTTCAACATCACTGGCTTCCTTTATAATATTATTCATCCATTCCCTCCATCCTAGTTCAAACAAAATATCCCCCCCCCCCAAAAAAAAAAACACCTCAGGATGTCACGCCCTGGCTCTCAGCAGACGAAATGTAAAGGGCCACTCCATCCGGTCATTTTACCTTTATGGGAGGTCACTGGCTTCATTAACGTCGTTTAGCCTTATTTCTTACTTCATTGTGGCAGACTTTAGCAGACAATGCCAAAAGGTATTGTCTAGTAGAAAGATTATTTCTATTAACGAACACCAACTCTAGACTTATAGGTCTCCCGAGACAATTTATCTGTCACCCCTGAATGAAATACTAAACAGAAGAGTGTGTTAATCCTCAATTCTTAAAAAGTGTCCTCCTTCATTATCACAAAAGTCATGATGTGTAACATGTCCTTTATACAGTCATGAGCAGCGGCATATTAAACAAATAAATCTGTCTCCGGTTAGCAATCGTTTAGCCATATCTTACTTTATTGTGTCAGATTTTAGTAGACAACTCCAAAAGGTATTGTCTAGTAGAAAGATTATTTCTCTTAACGAACACCACCTCTTACTCTCCCTAGACAACCCAGCCGTCACCCCTGAACACTGGCGTACTGGTTGGGGGGGGGGGGGGGGGGGGGGGGCTTGGGGCACTAGCCCCCCCCCCCAAAAAAAAGAAACCTCGACTTATTTTCAATTCCATACAAGTGATTTATAAATGTTCGTGATATCACATGATTTTCAACAACATTTCTGTTGCAAAGTGACACATTCCCAAATAGCCAGGAAGAGCATATGTTTTTTATAGTCACTAATGGGCTTTCGTGACAACTTACAGTAACACTAGTAGAAAATTCCTTTCCAGAAGCTACTGCGATAAGCACTGCCAGGAGAAAACAAGCTACCCAGGCGCGGATCCACGCCCTCCCCCCCCCCCGACTTTTAAAAATATTTGTTTAAATAATAATTTAAATATATATATATATATATATATATATATATATATATATATATATATATATATTTTTTCTAGTAAGTGATCACACATCCCGCCCCGCCCCCACTGAGCGAAAATAACAGTCTGCGCAATTTTCAAATTTCCGGGGGCAAAAACGAAACAAAATTATGCTCACTACTAGGAATAAGAGTCGATCGAGAACGGTACAACGAATCGTCTACTTTCTCAAATAATTCAATGAAACGTGAAAGCTTCCGCGCTACGCGCGGGAGGGGCGAAATGATTTCAGACAAGAATTAAGAGTAATAATTGAACTAAACGTCAAAGCTTCCGCGCTTTGCGCGGGAGGGGA